AACTATATCACATGAACTCCTACGAGATTAAAATAATGATTTATTCCCATTGTCCTCGATGGCCTAGAGGAACATCTTCTCACCATCTTGCGTCTAAGGTTTAACCATCTCATAGAGGTCTAGAGTCGTATGAATTTGCTTCTTTCTTGAGAACTTCTCAATAGAGTTGTAGACAGCCCCTCTAAATTTAACTTTATTTTTTAATTCTAGAACCCTAGAGCAAACTATCCGACTACACTGTAGAACACATTGAATGATAGTCCACACCTAAACCATAGTCCAACTTAGAATATTCCTTAGATTTTCCAGATACCCTAAATATCCCATTTTAGGAAACTAAATAATCCCAAATATTTAAATTGGGGAAACAAAAATATTCCTTGGATATTCCTAAGAAATTCCATATCATTTTAGAAAGTCAAATATTTCCAAATCCTAATGTGGGTGGGTCAAAATCTCCCAATTAAAAAACTAATATCCAAAAATAGGCAGTTTTTATAATAAGAAAACAAGGAAATCGCACATTCCAATTTCAAATAAATGCCTAATTTCAATCAGACCAGCCACCATTGGACAAAGCGTGATCTCCGAAGCAAACCTGTGCAAACCAGTAAAGGAATTAATTTAGCATCGCGACGCACCAATGTATCAATCATGGTCAACCCCAAATTGGTCTAGAATCATTACCTTCTTATTTTGGGACATTCTTCTCTATAAATAGAGCCTTTTGCAACCCCCTTTAAGAGGCGTATAAATAAATCCCTTAAATCCCTAGTCATAGAACCCTGCATCCTTCAAAACCCTAGACCTGGGCCATTCAAATTTTAGATCTGGGACCCGCTTCAGCCAACTTCTGAGATTTTAAAAAAAAAATCCCTTCTAGTCATCCAAAACCCTAGATATAAATTTCTTAAGCATCCCTCTTTTCCCCATAGTGAAATAAATCATTTAGATCATCACTCTCGAAGATCAAGGAGTAACGACTTCATCTTCACTATTTAATCCGGGCCCAACTCCAGATGTCGGGCCTAAGAGCGTGGTCTTTAGCTTCTTTCTTACTTTTCTAGTTTATTTTCTTGATTATTCAATTTTTTTTATTATTTATCTTTATTTTCTTTATTTTTCATTTTCATTTCCTCCAATAGAAATTCTTCTTGATTCTCTTTATTATTCTCTTTGTTTTATTATTGTTCATCTCTATCTTCTTTAGTAGTTTGTTATTCATATTTATTTTATTCTTGTTTCTTTCAAATTTCACACTACTTAAAACATCTCGGCCGTAGATTTGCAAAGAATTGGCCTTTTAAGCTTGATTTATCTGTAGATTTGAATTTGATGCTACCTAACGCCTCTCAACTCTTTAAATCTTAAAGTTTTGACACTATAGGAGACGGATCAGATGTAAGTTCATCTGGTAAGTCTCATAATCACATGTAAATAGTTTGGCGCCTACTGTGGGGCCTAACAAGCATAGGATCGTGTGAAATTTGGTAAAACAACTCTTGTACTACACTCCAAGGGCTGCTTCTAACAATTGAGAAACATGAAATCAATGGACAGGCCACACAAAGGAGTCCAGAGGCAATTCATCACTGCAACGCGCTGAGCATCGTAGAGGTAAAGAATATCTATGACGCATGTGTTGTAGAGACTTTTCTGGCTTTGGAACCCCTTGTTTTTTTGTATAGGTCTCTAAAGATCACTAGTTCCAGACAACATGAGCATTGCTTATGCCTGATTCTTTAAAGTCTTGTTTCTTCTTCACTTAGTTCATTAAGTTTTTTCTTGTTTTCTTTATGTTCCAGCTATAAAGCTTATATAAAAATTTGAAAAAAAAATATTGCAATTGCCCTATGTGATTTCTTATTTTATTTTTCCTTTATAAAAAATATTGAAAACTAAGTAGGAAAGGGATTTCATGTTGCCTTTTCTAGCATAGCTACTATTCTTGTGATTTGACCTACTATAATTCATTTGTATGGAATATTAGCCTGTCATTTCAATTGAACACAATATATTTGCCGGCTTGATCTGTAAAAGGAAATATATTGCTGCCCAATTTGTGATCCACCTGCTATATCTAAGTATATTTACTTGCCGTACATTTGCTCGCAATATTTTCTTACACTGAATATTTGCTGGCTTGATTGCGTGTTGCCATTTGCCACAAATTCGCATCCACTTATTGAGTGCTTTTTTACTCACAATTGTTGGCTTTGCCGGGAAAATTTTTTAAAACCCCCAAAGTTGACATTAAATTCACGAGGAGCATCCGTTTCTTAGGAGACGGGGCAGTTGGAACATGTGCAGCCTATTCGTGTAACCGACCCTAAATAGTTAGAAAAACGCTATGATGATGATGATGATTTGTTCTTAATTAATCTAATGGATATTTAATACAAAAACGAATCCTAAGAGCAAGCAATGTCAATTTCAGAATTGATAAGTAGCAATTGCCCAAAATAATGTAAGAAAATCAATAAGAAGTTATTGGTTGATATGCATTTTATAAGGTACTTCAAAATATCATCTTCTTAATATTTCTCATATTATAAAATTAACCCATAACTGCTAGAGCTCAGCCTTAAAAATGCCCTCTCAGGTTGGTAAGTAGTAGGGTGTTCTATATCTCATATCCCTTCTTAGTCATTGGGCACGTTTCTTTAGCTGGAAAGAACTCTATGGGAAAGTTGTTTCCTGCTGGACTGCTGTTTTCCCATGTTTGTTTCGCAGGAAATCCATAGTTAGTGTGGTAGCTGGTAAAACATTTTTCCAGGCTTTCCCAATGCTCTGAAAATAGCCTCATATCTATTTAGGTGTGAAATTGCTTTCTCAATCCATTGAGAAAGCTCTCTCAGTGAATTAACTTTCTCAAGGCACCCAAAAGCGCTTTAGTTAGTTTTTTTGTTCCCAATGCATGCGCAATGTGTTTTCAGTTTTCATCGTTTATTATTCTGCTTTCAGCTTCTTCTTTTTTCTTTTCTTTTTTTTTTAACATTAACACATGATTATTATTAACTATAAATGGATATTTTGTTTTCAGCTTTCAGTTTTCATTTCCCAAAATGTCCCTGTTTGCCTGCACTGTACATAGGTAACAGGTAGATGTACCCTCCCCATACCAAGCTAAGAAGCTTGAGGAATAAGATTGAGGAGTCTCATAGGGTGACGTATGGGATGGGTTAAAGGAATTGTTAGTCTGTTAACAAGCACAGGTTAAGATTCTTAGCAAACCATTTAAATTTTTCCAATATAGCACCAGAAATAAATATGAAAGAGAAAAATAACTTACAGCTACATAAATGAGAAAAGAGACTCTTAGAAGAGGAAACTTGAGCTAGTGCTCACATTGAAAGTTCCCATAAAGGATGAAGGAATTTGCAGCAAGGAAAGATAGAGATAAATGTTAAGCAAAGCATCCATAAAACTAATGAGAATCCTATTGAAAACAGTAAAAAGAATTATTGAATATTAAAAAATTTCACCGGAATTATAATGGAGAGAGTGAAGATTTTGGGGCAAGTGTGTCTACACGTGTATATCAGGGGCAACCTTTCTATAGTTCCCTTATAGTATAAAACTTGTACACTTATAGCCCCTCTAACTATTTTATTTTTTATTTTTTATACAAAACATTCTGACACTAAATTTTGAGCATCCACTCCTCTTTTAAACTCGCACCTATAAGAAATATAAAAACAATATTCTCAATAAAATAAAATGACCAAAATGTCCCAAAATGTTTCAAGGGTATTTTGGTCATTTTATTTTATTAAAAATATTTTTTAAGTGCGCTTTGTTGAGATGATAGCAAGTACCAAATTTTATAATCATATAATTGGTATAAAAAAATAAAAAAAAATACTTTGAAACATCAGATCTAATATCAAACGGTCAATGGCTCACTTGATCAAAATTAGACGGCTGGATGAAGGGAAGTATATATCTTCCATGCAGTATGAGAAATATAGAAACCTTTCCCTATATCGTGAACCGAAAACGGCCTCAAGAAAAATAACTACAGTGAACCAATACAAAAACAAATAAGACCACATAAAATATAAATGAAGTCAGAAATAGAGAGAGGACAGGTAACTAGAGCTTTTCCTTATCCTCATAGAAGGCCATTGTTAGACCCAAACATATTCAGAATTACAGGCTTGACCCGTTTGATTCATCCAATAAGAAGTAAGGCTGCTTATCTTGAGAGAATAAGAATCACAGAACCAATGCACACACCACCCCTCTCTCTCTCTCACACACACATACACGGAGTTGCTAATATTCTCCATTAAAGATGAACTTACTTATAGTTCACTTTATCAGTGGTATAGTTCCAACACAAATGCCATTCCCTCCGCGGGAGTCATTTTTTCCATGAAAGTAATAATTATTGGGGATGGGCAATGACGACATATAGTTGGGGAAAGATTCGATGGTCTCAAGGGCCAGTATGATAGCAATTGGCCAATAAAACCTAGCTAGGAATCTGAAAATTTTTAAATCATTTAGTTTACCTTGTGATCAATTAAAAAAAAAATTTATTAAAACCCTACTTCTGGTCACCCTGTAAATGGATAGTAATCCAAAGTCACTCTTCATCAAGAATTATTTCAAGCACGTTTTGAGATCCAAATCAATTTCCTTTTAAAATGATCCTAGAAATGTAAAGTATTGAGGTGAAACAAATTCCTTAACAAGGTATATTCGCCCTTGGGCGTCATACAGAAGGCTGAGTAGTTCAATGCTTGGTTAAAATGTGTTCAAGAAAGAAGGATCTCATAAGAAATGGTAAGAGAGAGAGATAATGCCAAAAAGTGGAGAGAGAGAGAGAGAGAGAGAAAGAGAGAGAGAATGAATGGAGATTGAAGAAACCAGGAAGAAAATGGAGATTGAAGCAAACAGTGAGAGAGAGATTTCTGTGCATACTTCACATGTACAAAAATTGCAAAGTGAAAGTGCAAAATTTCAATCCCAAGAAAGATAAGGGAGCTGACAACTAAAAACCAGATTGAACGCCTTTCTATATCCATTGAAATTGAATGGTAATCTACTTTACAGAAGACTCTAACATGGCCGATCGAGTAATCGATCCTGATCAGAGGCCCAGAATATGTTCTTTCACAAGGGAAGGCTGCCAACAAAATCGAAACAACTAAAAAGTTTCCATACAGTGTAAGACACAAAATATCCAATTAAAACGAGCTCTCTAACCTCTTCCTAGAGTTAACAAGAAATACCCAAAAAAGCAATCCTAGTAAATACCAGGCTTTGCTTCAAAAACAAAGCAATCTGCCATGAAAATGATGAGCTTGAGCTTTCTATGAATGCTTATAAATGGGCATGGTTCCTCTAGCACTTGACCCCGGAATGAAGAAGCAACTTCTTTTATTTCTTTCCAAATCTCAAGCACTTGTTATGTTTAGACTCAGTGAAGCTCTGGTTTTGCGGGTTACTTAGCTTTGATTGTTTCACAAGAGAGAGCTTCTCCATTGCATTTATGAATTTGCGGAGGTGTTTGATGTATTCTGGGTAGGTCTCCAAGTTGCAATGACCACCGCCTTTGATCCATAAAGGCTCGTATTTCTCCTTGGAAAGCTCCCACAATCGTTTCCCATGAGACCAATCGACTATGTCATCTTCAGTTCCCTGAAAATAATCAGTTCATTAATCACCACCCACTCAATTTTGACAACCAACTTTCTTTTTATGATCAATTTGTGATGCCCTTAAGTTCTGCAGTTCTCTAGAAATCTTATATCCAAAATCCAATGGGTACTTTCCCTTTTTATTTTATTTCATTTCCATCAGTCACAGAAAACATTTCATGTTTGCTCAGCCCAATGCCAAGATGCTTTTTGCCATGTAGTAACAGAAGAAACTCAATCACAATATTAATGATTTTGGTGATTGTCACAGTATTAATTTTTTATCAGCAGTTTGCTGCCATTGTTTAACTGATATATTATGAAGAGCCTATATTAAATGGAGGATACTCAACAAGGACAAACAGCTTCAGAAATGCAGATAGTCATGAAGACATAGTTCATGCTAGGCTCAGACATTAGGCATGCAAAACCTGAAAGGGGAGATTTTCTCACTAGTTAAAAGTTTCTTACACCCCTGGTTTTTGAAGTTGCAGTTTACAAAATAAGGAACAATGACATGTGCTCTGAGAACATGAATGGAATTTGTTGGAAATTCACAACAGTGCTAGTGTGGCAAGAAAACAACTAGACGATGTCAACAGGGCTGGCGATCTTTGTGCCTAAAACTGATGGAATTTGAACCAAATATGCAGGGTAATAAAAGAAGTGGAAATTCACGTTCGTGCCAACCCCAACCACCTTCTGTGGATTTCCCAATAAACTCTCAGTTGGATAAAATAAACCCATCCCCTTAAAATCCACAGCGGGTACTAGATCCCTCCATTACCAAAGGAGTATAGGATGCCTTGTATTCATTTTATGCATCTGTGACGCAAGAAGAAACCTTGCCACTGCAAAATTCAGCAATGGAAAAAGCTGCTTTTTGACACAAACTATCTTAACATACGAAAATAAATACATGATCAGATAGTACTAATTCAGCATGCTTACTTAGCAACATGATTCCTGTCCAGTACCCACACAAGAGGAGCATGCTTGCAGACATTGAAGGGCTATTTCCGCTCTTACATTTACAAAAGCCAAGGACCTGTCTTCCATGCCACAAAGGATATCAAGGAACAAAAAGCATTAATTTTGGCAGGCATAGGATGCTTAAATAGGGTTTGGAAAATTTTGCTGCTACTGGTTGCCTGAATGAGTGTGAGTGAGCACGTGACCATGGCATTCTGGCACCCACCCATTGTTAAAGTGAAGTTACAAAGGTGGGGGCTGAATTTCACAACTTTGTCGTTTCCCCTATCTCTCAATGGATTTCAGGGTTCCGTCCATCGCACTCCTTGATCTTCCTTGCTTGACATGTCGCCATGAAATAGTTGTGACCTGTCTTTTCCTCGGTCCAAGTGACTTATTCCAGCTTGCCATGGAAGAATTCTACATCCTTACAATTGTTTCACCCACTCCATTGACATGAGGACTGCATGCTTGGGTCCCATCAGCCAAAGCACTCACAAACCTTTGCTTTGCAATAGATCAAAGTCCATTACAAAGGAAGCATGCTACAAAAATTGCTTTCAAGAGCGTGAGGTATGAAATTCAGCCCACACCCTAATAGCTTGCCATTTCAATGAAAATGGCCACATGCTCATACTCATTCTAGCCATTCAATGAAGAACTCCAGATTATATTAAGGAAGCTCATGTTGGTCTACATTAGCGATATGTGTTGGTCAGAATGTTCCTTCAAGTACAGCTTGTGAGACATAAAAGACTGGCTCCTAGCTTTAATGAATACAATAATGGAAATGACCTACTTTATCGCACACAAGAGTGCCTCCATGGTGGAATTTGACTCAAATCATGTTGCCAGATTTGTGAGTACTTTGGTAAAAGGGACCGGACCATAAAGCTATGGGTTCCTTGAGTCCAAAGAGTGGGTGAAAAAAGTGCAAGGGTGTGGAACATTGGGTGTACAGTATCAAATTCTACCCACATAACTAGGGACACATGTAGGAGGGAATGAACACTATCAAATTCTACCCACATAACTACGGCTGTAAATCAGGTCAGGCAGCTCATAATGGGCTTTAAATCTGCACCTGGTTTCAGGCCAATATTCGACTGGTCCAGTCACCCATGGACTCATGTCGGATTTGTTCAGGTATGGGCCAACACCGGCCCAGTTTGAACCCCAGCTTGAAACCAACCATTGGCAGCCCTATATTTGGCAGACCCACAGGGTTTCAGTCTGAGCCTGGTTTTGAGCTCATCTTGGGCTGCCCCCTTAGGCCCACTGGAAGGGCCTAGGACAAAATACGGCCGGCCTGTTGGCAGCTGTAACCCAAACCCAAGACCTCCCTCACCCATAGACATGGTTATCAAATTGCTTTCTACCATGATGTGACCTTGCATCGCGAGGACCATACAGGAGGAAGTGGGATCTTGCATTGGGTCCTAGTATGAGGGAAGATTTGGTCCTTAGATGTGACACAACCAAATCCATCAATACACGACACACAGTGATTCTCTTGTTCTCATCATAGACATACCACAGCATTTTGGCAGGCAACTTAGAGGAAGACCTTAACCACTCCTTCACTATAGATGATGAGCATATTACTAAGATTTCTGAGTCCCTATGACCTCCAGAATCATTATGAAGTATGAACCCACCTGGGCTTCCTACAAACTCTCGCTTTGGTAGTCGTTCTTGCTCTTATCCTACGTTCGGTTTTTCTCGGATTTGTGCTATCCTACATTTTGCTTGTGCTATCCTACATTTTGCTCTTCAATAGTTTCATTCCATTTTGGATGTATCAGAATAAGGGAATCAAAACAAACTATGAGACCACACACACACCTACAAAAATTATGGATAATCTAAGAGGGAATGGAGTCTCACACGCATGCACATGTGCCCGCACATATACACACACAGCAGACACACAGCACACACACACACATACACTGTGGCATTAGTTGGCGGGAGGAGGCAATACCTCGTGAGCATGGGGCAGGTGGACTCGGTGTAAGGTGGGTGTAATGGGTTATATGTACCACGTGATAGAGAAGTAGTTGAGTTCCAATTGTCACACCATGTGAAATCATTTTTCCTGGTTGGTCTTACACATATATTATATTGTGCACATATAGAGTACTTTCGTCAGAGCAAATTGTACACTTGCTCCCTTAAGCAAAACACCGGCTAAGGAAGATTGTTTGATCTGAAATGTTGGGAATCACCTAAGAATTACCAAATAAATAATTTTAAAATAGAGAAGACAATATTCAGCTCCCAAGCACCTAGAGCTGATTGTCCAAAAAATGGACAGCCAATGTTACTATCTTGAAGTATGATTTTTCACAGTTTTAGGATGCGTCTGAAACTCCTTTTTTTATTTCTTTTTTTTTTGTTTTCTTTTTTTTGATGTTGATCCCTAGGTTGAGTTGATGACATCACGAATATTTGCATTCTGGAAAATACACCGAGGTGGGCTTTTGTTTGAGGGAGTAAGTGTACACTCGCTCTCACATGAGCATGTAATATTTTTGCTTTTGTATTCATGACATTACATAGCACGCAATTTTTCTTCTCAAAGAAATTAGTAATCTTTCTCCATGGAACCTCCATCCCAGGACCCTTTCTTTGGTTTTGGATAACCAGGGACGGTTCAATAGTCATAATTACACAAGCTTTCAGTGTTCATGGTTCAATATCATGGGGTGAAAGAAGATACAAGGGAAGAGCCAAAGGCATATATCATTTTCATTGCTCTAGCCAAACATTTCCCAGTCCATGCCTTAGTAGCTATGTCGCATGGATATCGGTAATCGTGTTAGTGTCTGACATGTCCTGGAACTAGAAAGATTTGGCAAGATGGCTATATTATGAAGAGACACTTACATCCAACAATGTTCTGTAATATACTACTTCATGATAAGTACCAAAAAATAGTCAACATACACTCATTGGCTCAATCCATAGATTATTTTGAATTCCATAAACATTTTTAAAGTTTACATACATCTAATCAAGACAAAATATATCAAGTCTCTAAGATGATGTAATTAATTGTTCATAAACAAGTAGAAGAATCTGAAATATCCAAATCCATGTGAGCATCGATATGTGGCCGACATAAGTACAGCACCCAAACAGAAGAATCATGTGACAAAACTTAGTGTCTGTGCATCAACCAATGGGTTCCCTTGCGATTTCAGAACTTACTTTTTTTTCTTTCTATAAATTATTTGTCTGTTTGCATGATTTTGTCAATTAAGAGCAGGGATGAAATCAATATAAAGTTATAAAAGTGAAAGGAAAATTTAGTTTTCACTCTTAAATGAACTGAGCCCTAATATATTCATTTATATGATTCAGTAAGTTAATACTTGCAACAAATATACACAAACATATAAAATAGAATTACTTCCACAAAATGCCTTTTAATATAATTATCAGGAAGATATCAACATTGTATTTGATCAGAACTATAGAGCATTAAACTTTATCAAAAAAAAATCTAGTGGGACTGTGTTCAGCTCTATACTTGAATCCTCTCTAACAAAAAATAGAGAATACAAACCTAGTAATTCAGGTGGTCAGCACACTGGCAAGGTAATGACATTATGAAGTTTACTAGCAAATGAAATCATTTAGTAGAAAGTACAGATCAAGATCAGGACAATCGCACCAAAGGTTGTGTGGTAAGTTTATATTACTTTTATAATTAATGGTGACTATTTCAATAACAAGTGTTGAATAAATAAAAAGTGGAAAAATAAAAGAAAAAGAAAAAAGCAAGAATCATGTGTCCATCTTTGTGCAAATGCAAATATTCTACGTACTTACATGTATTACAAGAACAGGGCAGTTGACATGCCGTATCTTGTCAATGTTCTGCAGTCAAAAAAAAAAAACTCAATAAAAGTTCACCATTTAATCAATTGATGCATAAAAAAAAACTTCACTATTCGATTGAACCTCTCACATGGTATAGAGTCAAGAGAAGTTACTTTAAAAATGTCGAACCAGAATGTCATTTTCACTGGATAGAGAACGCGTATGCCCGATAGAATGGCACTATGAAGAACAACTGCTCTTAGCTTCGGTAAACGAGAAGCCAAGTGTAAAGTGGGTCCGCTCCCAACTGACTGCCCATAAAGAATCACATCCTCCTGTCTAATTCCATACTCTCTTTTCAAGCATTGATACACTGCCTCTATGTCATAGTATGTGTTGAACTCTGAGGCCTGCTCAAGCATTTATGTCATGCGAGAAGCCATTGAGAAATTGCAAAGAGAACTTGTACAGCTACCATTAAAGAATGAGATCAATTTAATTTCTCTTTTCATCTTATCAAAAGAAAGAAATAAAAGTTTTTTCATGGAAAGGAACAAGAAAAGAGGTTATGTATCTAGCGATGGGAATTGGCAAGCATACAGTCATACAAGATATAATCACATAACCCAATTATCTTGTCAAATTCTATCACCCACCCAAAGGAAATAATTAAATTCATTCTAAAGCATTAACAAAAAGTACAAAATGAAACCAGTTTTTAACTGATCCCTTAGAACTAATAATTGATGCAATAAGATTCTACACTAAAGAAATTCACAGAGGACGAGCATCATAACTTACTGCTTACCTTGCCAGAAGACGCTCCATATCCGGAGTAATCATAACTGCAAAATACCAAATAAGCCAATCAGTAATGAAGAAAAATAAGTTTCTTATAGGGTCTTAATCCTTTCACTAGCAGAGCAGTTTTTCTCATAGGCATGAATATTTTCGAGCCTAATGCACATCATCGCTAAAAAGGAAACCTACTGAGCTCATAAACTGTTCAAAAAGCAGAGTAGTTTTTCTCATAGGCATGAATATTTGCAAGCCTAATGCACATCATCGCTAAAAAGGAAACCTACTGATCTCGTAAATATAAAAGCACTGACGCCCCTTTCATAAACTCTGAATTCACATGAATTCCAAACGATAATTAGCCATACAATTACTCCAAATCACATACCAAATAACATTATTACCATATATACTAGTTCACGACCATTAAAGACCATATTCAAAGCCCACCGAAAGCAGAAAAAAAAAAAAAAGCATTCCATATTATAGAAAGAAGCGACATCAGTCTACCTAATATCAATATTCATATTATCCAATATCAAATTCACTTTCAGTGACAATCCAAAAGGACCGCCCGCGAAACAAACGGATCAACGAAAATTAAATTGATCCAATCCAAACAACCGACAAGATAAAGCAGCAATATAAACCTTCCAAAATCAAAAACCAATATTTTGCTCACCTCATAATATTAACACGAAGATGGGCTCTAAGCTCAATGAACAGCTCATGCATCTGGCCTAGATCAGCAGCATTTCCATGAGAGTAAAGCAAAGTGAACCTCGCAAATGGGTGTCTCCAAAAAGTGGCTACAATCTTATTGCCCCCCTTTGTGTCAAGAAGGTGAACATCCATGTTTTCATCAGGGCCAACCCCTGTGAAGAAGAACTTACCTTCATCACTGTAAACATCATAGGTTGGTGGGTCTGGTGGGAAAAACGCAAACTTTGCGGCAACACTAGAAGTTACATTTCCCATCAACAAAAACACTCAGAGAAGCAACGACAGGTTCATTTCAATCTATGAAGAAGATGATGATCAGGCTTCAATTCAATAGCCCAACAATGAAAATTTTTCATTCTCTCACACACCCAACAATGAAAAAATCAATCCAAATCATGAATACTTCATTTCCTTGCATACCCAACAATGGAAAGCTCATTCTTTCAGAAACCCAACAATCAAAACATTCATTCCCTCACCTGTCCAATAATGAAAACATTCATTCTCTCGTATAGATTCACTTCTCTCACATACCCAAGTGTAATACAAACAATTTCAACATGGGTCTGTAGAATTGAATAAGAGCCCCGTGAGAGGGGGTGGCATAGTATTAAAACCACAAAGGTCTTGTTATGAATGCGGGATCCGATCTAACTGGCAGTGTGATGATCTGTTGTTTCAGGACGGCTAAAGAGGAATAGTACTCAAATCCCATAGATGGGGTCATTTTAACGGCCCAGATTTAGTCAAAGGCTGCTAAATCTGCAGGGGAGATGAGAATGCTCAGAAACAAACCCAAAGACGCATCCATCCCCTGTGCTTTGCTCATTACGGTTTCTTCTCTACTTTTTTTATGTCTTTTTTTTTTTTTGTCTTTTTCTTTTTTTTTTTTGGGGAGGGGGTTATGACGCTTTTTTTTTGTTTATTTTGAAACGGGTTACGCCCCTTTTTGTGCTTGTGGGGTTGTTTTATTTGTGAGGAAATGACTAAGCCACCCTAGATCCATTGTTATTGGGGAAAAATGAATGGTTGTCTCTTATTGTTTGTAACTTGTTTAATTTTTTAGCAAATTCTTGAGATTTCACTGAATAAGGCCAAGATAGTTACTAAAAGAATAATGGAAGCCCATCCATCAATGTTGGCCTACTTTCACATGTGATGCATGTCATGTAGGAGACCAGCCCTTGTGTTTTCCCTTTGTTGATTTTGATGGCATACCATTTCTAAAAGATGAGTGCCCATCAATATAACATGGATTTAAAGGCCACCCACTTATTTCATTGCCATCAATACTATATCTATTTTTGTGTGTGCCTATATCTTTGAATTTTTTATATGTGAGATTATTTAATTAAAAGTTAAAAGCTTAGATGTGGGAATAAGAGGGACATAATGGTCATATTTAAAATATGGGATATTCTCCTATAGCTCCTATTGTAGATTAGGTTTGGTCAAAAGGCTTTCAACTACTATGGGGCTTGTGTGCATGACACTGTAGTTGTTGGGTCCTTTAACTTTTCTCTTTATCCTTTCCATTGCCAACCTAACCTAGAAGGAGAAAAGAAAGAATGGAAAAAAAAAAGAAGAAGATGGTATTGGACCACCGTGAAGGTTCTTTCTTGCATTGGATGAGGTTCATTCAAAGCCATTAACCATGGGGGTGGGTTCCTTTGTAGTTTGTGCATTATTGGATAAAAATAAAGGTAAGCATCATTTGTAGTGTCCCCAAAGGTGTACACCAAATCTTTGATTTTCCCAAAAGAAAGTGGGGTTTTGAGTAATTTAGCATTTGACATGGAGATCCACAAATCAGTGGCTGAGCCCAGGCCACCAAACTATCTTGTCATGTTATTAAAAGCCCAAAGAAAGTACAGTGAAAACAAGAAGATTTAGGAATGAAAGGCCATCAATTTCATTAGAGAGATCATCATTTCTCTTTATGGGTGGGTAAGCTGGGATTCGAACCTTGTACTTGAGTCTTGGACTCCTCAAGTCTTAACCATTAAGCCAAGAACGAAGAATGCCTACCATTGATGGTCACACCATCGATGCCTAGAGAATAACCAGTGGGCCCCACTTTGCTCCTTTCTCAATGCTACAACTCTCAATTAAACAAGATAATGAAACCACTCATGGAATTGACACACCCCACCCTTCACCATCTTAAAAATGATGACCCTTTGTTAAAAGGGTGTGGATTGCATAAGGTTGCAACCATAAACAATCAAAGTGAGGTGCACCTTTGAACTTCGTCATAAGATATAATTTTGGTGTCAATAATTTTTTGGATGACTCGAGTGTTTAATTTTATCTCTAATTATAAAATTTTAAACACTTAGAATGGTTCAAATCAAGAAAATCTATACACGCATGAAAATCTTGAAAATGAACGGCCCAAATAATAATGTTGCAAGATATACCATTTTTGGAACTTAAAATCTTTTTTTTTTTCCATATCCATACATCTCGATGTCTAGATGATCAATTAAATAGTTTTCTAACATCAAAATAGTCATATTTAATTGATTCTTGAGAGGCACCTTAATTCTAGAATATAAGGTGTCAACCTTATATAAATGAAAAATTGTTTGGTGCATCCAAGCCTACACCTGTTACTATGCAGGCTTGGAAATCAACACCGTCCACCAAAACCGAGTCCTGTAAATAATAATCCTCCAAAGAAATAGTAAAATCAACGGTTCAATTATTTTCTCCAAAAATTATCATTTCAGGTTTTTAAAATTTATTAATTTTTACATATTAATAATCTCCATGTTAAATATTATATATTTCTTAAAAATTGGGATCAAATTCTATTTCAAAAATAAATTATTAAAAGGCCTGCATTTCGACACGTGAGTTTGTGGACTCATAGAAACCGTGTCCTATATAAATTTTTTCTTTTACAAAACTGACATTAGTGGAATATTGAGAAATGTAGCACAAATGGGTGTATTATCATTGAATGTGAGTGCATTATATTGGGGTTGAAAATTAACTCCTATGTCAGCCAAATGTTTCAGTTGTGTCGTCCAAATTTAAGGAGTTAGGTGAAATATCAAGTCTATAGAGAATATTTCCTAGTTAGTAATGGCTGGACTTCATGCATTCCACCTGTGTTCCTCCACACGTTCTAAAATGGCTAAAAGTCTCTCTCTCTCCTATTAACTACCTTAACCTAAGGGCAACGGCCTGGGCCGGGTCAGGATAAGGCCAAGGCCGGGGTTGGCTCTGGCTTGGCCCTTGTCCCCTTAAGAATGGCTCAAGCCCGGCCCTGAGGGCTAGGCCAGACCCCAAAAAAATAGAAGTATAGAGGAAAAACAAGTAAAAAAGAGAGCCAGGGCAGGGCAGGCCAAACAGGGCTAGCCTTAGCCCAAACCCGGCCCTTAGGCTACAAATTTTGCCTAGGGCTTGCTTTTTTAGGGTTGGGCCAAGCGGCCCATTCCCGGCCCTGTCTTAACCTACATTTTTAGAGAGGTATCGTGACCAAATATCCTACTCTTCTTTCTCTATTTTAGGTCCCACTTGGTCATAACTATTCTACATTTTCTCCACGACTTTTGTCATTTTCTATCAGCTTCTTCCAAACCAATTCTCCTTTTTCCTTTTTTCTTTTTTTATTTTGGTTCCTTCTTCTTTTCTTTTGGGCGTAGATGTAGGTACCGATTTTTGGCGTGTCGCGTTGTGATTTTTTGAAAGCTAAAAACTAAGGGTCCCAAAAATAAAATAGTTTTAATTTGGGCAACCTTATTAATAAATTTCTTTTTGGAGCATTACATCTCCCACGTGCAAAACTCATTTGGAGGTGAACACACGTGTAGCAGACTAGGATCCCATAAATCGACGTCCCCCTTTTTTGTTTGTCGTTTTATGTTTATATTTTCCTTACTTTGGCCCATATGTCCCTCTTAACAAGTAATAATAGTCCAATCACTACTCTAAATCTTATTCTTTCTCAAAATATTTATACTTCTCATTTCTACAAATAAATTTGCATACTTTTTAAAATTTTCACTTTTTCTGTATAATATTAGCCTTACATAGACTTTCTAGATGGGACATATCTACACTGTCCAAAGAGGGGATAATCTTATGGCAGATTGTCAGGGCGGCGGTTCTTTGAGAGGTTATGGTTGGAAAAAAATGATCGAACTTTTGAAAGATTGAGTTTAGAGGTAAGTTATATATAATATAATGAGTAAACTTTAGAATAATTAGGCACCTATAATGAATAGTAATATAAGTGGAATGAGAGCCGTCAGATATTCATCATGTGATTCATATTACATATCACTATATGAATTTTAATATTTTTTTTTTATAAATCGGATCATAACGAAAGTTTAGATGTGTGTACTACAAAATAGGACGCACAATTAAAAAATATATAAACAAATATTTCTCAAAATATAAAATAATCGAAATACCCCTGAAAAATGAGGGGCGTAATTTACTCATTTTAAATTCTTGAAAATATTTTTTTTTATATTTTTTATATGGTGCGCAATAGTGTTAGGTATATACACCCAAAATTTCATCTTAATCAGATTTATAGAAAAAATTTAAAATTAAAATGGTGATATGTATTTTGAACGACTCGATGAAGATCCGACGGCTAAGATTCCACCTATATTATTATTCATTATAGCTGCCCAGCTATTGTTAGTTTTTTCCTAAGATAAGATATTGCATAATGTTTGGTTTTGGTTTTCGAACACAAAAGAAAGATAGGAGCTATCTAAGAATGACATCATTATGAACATGTGTGATCTGATCTAGCAATATATGGCGAGACCTTGACCAACAGGAAGATGGACACCACCAGCTCATGATTGTGTTAAACTTAATTTTGATAGCAGTTCCTTTGGGAACCTAGGACCGATTGGTTTTGGAAGAGTAGTTAGGGATGCCATGGAAGTGAAAATATTCTCATATTTTGGGCCTCGTGATGTTGGAACTACAAATACGGCTAAATTATTAGCCGTTTTACATGGAACTAAGCTTTTGAAAAATCAGTGTGGCTAGATGGTCGAGTGTGACTCTTTGAATATCATCGATTGGTACTTTGGAAAAGGAAGGCCCCGATAGAGTTTAAAAAGATTTTGGATGGAGGTGTTGGATATATGTCGGGATCAGGTGGTGTTCTTTAATCATGTTTATAGGGAGGCATATGATAGGGTAGATGCTTTGGCGAAATATGGAGTTGTGGCTGACCATTTAGTTGTTTTTCTGCCAATGTAATTTTGATTTTTTCAATTTTGATTTTTTCAATTGATTAATAAAATTATGTTCTCTTGTCAAAAAAAGAAAAATTTATTGTAGACACTCCATTTTGAAAACTAGCAAATTCCATAATTTTCTTAACTTTAGATAACCCTTACGACCATTTTATTCCATAAAAATCTTGAACCATAGAACATTGTAGTCCATGGTCCTCATTTCAGTCTATAAAAATACATTTTGATGCCTCTTTTGTTAGAGAAAGTTGTATTTCCAAATATCTACAAAATAAAGGCCCAAAAATTTTAATTTATTTATTTTCCTTTCTACCCTACTTAAAATATATTTTAAAATAAGATATTGTTTTGTGTAAAGAGTAAGAAAGACTCATGTGAAGAGAATGACAAGTGGCTATTGAAATGCAACACTTGTCATTTTTCTCTCTACATATGTTCCTCTATTTTTCCCTTCTTGTAGTTTTGGGAGGTTGGTGGACCAAGCACGAGTTCTTTTTCTCTCCCTAAAACCTCATTCTCTCTCTCATGCTTCTTTGTGAGCTGAGTGCAAAGGACATGCCTCTCATCTCTGTGAGAGCCCTCTAGTGTCAC